ACTCAGATTCCGGGGTGATGTTTTTAAAAACTATTATATTTATCGGATCTTGTATTCAGTCTCTTCATCTCAGTCACTGCATTTCGCTACATCAGAGTAAGAAATTAGATTGCAGCATCAGAAGCCTGGCTGGCAGCAGCTTTTGTTTGATTCCTATCTTGCAAGAACTGTCTCCTATGGTCATGATGTGATTTAACCGTAGAAGCACGTGTACCTAAATTGGTTGTTTTTGTATAATGTACCTTGACATGAGACCAGATGTGTACATGTATTTATTAAACACATGCTTGCCCAGAAAGTGGGGTTAATGTTTTATACTAAATATAAGAGAAGCAAAAACCTACTGGCTTGGTTATACTATGCTGCTTTAAACCATTTCCCACCCCACCCCCCGCTGGCTTATTTCCAGTAGGCTGTATCCATGAGGAGTAAAGCACCATAAAACATGATCATATGTTATTGGCTCTTAAAATGTAAACCCTTGTTTTTCACTGGAAAGACTGCTTTGGCAGAATGATTTAAACACAGTAGTAAAATAACACATTTGTTGTCTCTTCCTCCAAGGGCTTGGTTCCCTATACAGGGCTACCATTTTAGTTTTGTAACAACCTTATGCAGTAAGGTGGGACGTGGTGGCACTGTGGGTTAAACTGCAGAAGCCTCTGTGCTGGAAGGTCTGTAGATCTTCAGCTGTAAGATCGAACCCACGGGACGGAGCGAGCGCCTGTCGCTTGTCCCAGCTCCCGCCAACCTAGCGGCTCGAAAGCATGCAAATGCAAGTAGATAAATAGGGACCACCTCGGTGGGAAGGTAACAGCCAAACCCTTGTTTTTCACTGGAAAGAGTGCTTTGGCAGACGGATATAAATACAGTAGTAAATTAACACATTTGTTGTCTCTTCTTCCTCCAAGGGCATAGATACCATATATAGAGCTAGCATTTTAGTTTTGGCAGTAAGGCTACATAACCTTAAGTCTCTCTTGAGGCAGCTTTGTGAGCCACATGTTTGAAGGTAACCGCAGGCCTCTTAAAAGTCCAAGTATTACTCACTCCCCCTCACTGTTTGCTTAGTGAGAATTCATAGTATGCCACACATTTTTCCAGCAAAACTGTCAAATGATTTTCAAAAGCATCTCTACAAGGAATAAGACTTAAATTACTACCGTATTTTGCATCAAATAAACAAACACAAAATCCAGGTGCATGTGATTACAGTACTCATGACAGGTCTGGTGTTATTGCAATGGCTTAGAAAATGATGAGATAAACAAGCAGCATCTGAGCTACAAAAATCCAACATTAGCTTGGCTCATACCAAACTGTAGAAAAAAATTGCATGCAGCCTTCAAAGCCAGAGATTCCACAAAGCTAAGAAGCGTAGCTTCCCCCCACCCCACTGCGCTGAGTGACAGAGCCAAAGTGCTGTTTGCCACCAAAGCGGACTTTCTCCTGGCTTTAGAAACTGCTACTGAGGCTGGGTTATCAATAATTAATCCCAACAGATGATGAATCACAAAGAAACGGCCACAATCTGTGGAGCTTGCTTTCTTGCTCAAAAGGTTAACACAAGGTATGTTCTATAAATTAAGCTATATATAAGTCCTTGCCGAATGCAGCAAGAAATTAGTGAGCCCAGGTTTTATATATATAAATTTGTTTCTGGTGATACATCTTTATAAATTTCTTCCTGGTCATATATATCTTTTTCTTCATGATCTCTGTGAAATCACACATACGGGTTTTGTTCTGCAGCTGTGTGAACATCCCAGGAATCTTCTAGAGCCTTAAAACATGCTTAGAAACACCCTTTCCATTAAGCATGCCTTCCCCATCCTGGAGGCTACTGTTAGTTCCCTCAGACCACCACTAAGACAACACCTCCGAGGCCCTTTCAGAACCCATGTGTGTCAAAAAGTTTGTACATAATTTCTTACCCTTTTCTTTCCATCTCCTGGCTACTATTGTCCATTAGAAGAACAAGAAAATGAAGTCCCCCCCCTTATTTCTTCAATAGGTACTAGCTCAAAATGGGCTCCCCCCACCTTTTTATGGCCCCGTTGGACCCATTTAAGAAGTGTACGACTTGTAATAGTAAAATTCCCCTCATAGACATACATTCCAAATATCTTTTTTGACTCGGTGAGGGGCATCAACCTGAACACTGCAAATTCTGCAAAAAAATTTACTAGGGTTGCATTCTAAAACCAAATCCGAAAAGTTACTTTCTTATAAACTCGTTCTTGGCTGCTGCCTGTAGGGCTAGTGAACTTTCTGCCCTCATTGTGATCTGCCTTGTCTCCCAATTTCATAAGAACAAAGTAAACCTTTTTTTCCAGACTTGTCTTTTCTACCACAGCTTGTTTCAGAGTTTCATGATAACCAGCCATTGGTATTCCCTATTTTCTTTTCATCTCCTTTGACTGATCTAAAATGATGGCTCCATTCCAAGGATGTACCGTATTTTTCCATGTATAAAATGACACTTTTTCCTACAATAATTAGAGGAAAAATTGAGGGTTGTTTTAAAGACGGCAGGCAGCAGCAGGAGGCGGAGGAGCAGCTGCGCTCAGCCGCCTCTTACGGCTGCCCATTGACTGCTGCCTCCGCCACCCGATCGCCTTCTCCAGCACTGCTGCTGGGGCTTACCTCCAGCTCACATCGCCGCCCTGTCCCCTGCCCAAAGGAGACGATTGCTGGAGGAAGTGATGTGATGGTGGCAGCGAGAGGAGGCAGACCGTGGCTGCTGCTTTGCCTCAGTCTCCGCCTCCTCCTGCTGCTGCAGTCTCCTCCAGCACCACTCATGGGCTTAGCAGCAGCAGCAGGACACAGAGGCTGAGGCAAAGTAGCAGACTGCTACTCCTCCTCAAGCAAGGGTTAAAATTAGGGGGTCATCTTATACATTGGGACGTATACATGGAAAAATATGGTACATAGGCCCTTAGGTTTCTACATTTCCAAGACATAAGATTTTCAAGAATTTGTTTGTTGAACACCAAAGCGCCAAAAAGGGACACCATAATATTGTCCTCCTCTGCTACCAGCTAGCCACTGTCTAGTGGCATGAACAAACCAATTAGAACACGCCTTGTTTGGAGGTGGAACCTGTAGGCTCAGATGCAACAGGGACTCATAATGTCTGAGCATTCTGAGCCCAGAGGCTGAATACTCAAAGCTAAGTAAGATTCTTAGATTTGGGGTTAGAAAAATGGTGGTTGGTTTTATAAACTGAAACATATGGTGTATGTGTGAATTCACAGATAAATTCAAATAAACAGTTACAGGTAAGTGACCTGTCCTTCTCTCTTGATGGCTTCTGAACCTTTGCCTGGAAGAGAACTAATGCAAAACAAGAAGGAAAAAGTATTTTCTGTGGAATGACATCCTATTAGTCAGTATTTCAACCATGGACTTTCAGCACTAAATGGGAACAGTTTTATTTGCCTAAGCATTCAAATTGAGTACACTGTTCTATTTTTCCTGCATTAATATGGTGCATTTTAGTCAGAACATTTAACCTGCTACTGTTACTTTATAGTTTTGGTCATGTTTTGTATCAATTTTTAAAACTATGATTTGTTCTATATTTATTCAGTGAGCTGCCACCATTTTTATGTATTCATTTAGGGAAAACAAGGTATAAAAATGATGCATAAAATACTATACTTTAGCTCTTGGATAATATAATTTAATTTTCTATTTTGGTTAACAAATTTGTAACATTGACTGTTCAGATGCCACCCCACTGTAGTTCAATAAACCTATCAAATCCTGTTTATTACATTAACTTTAAAAATCTCGTATCAATTTCATCCAAGCTTTACATCTCTTAAAAACAAATGGCCAAAATCACTGCTTAGCATAGTCAATTGCACCAGAATAGGCCCACTGAATCAACTGGGATATAATTGGTCAACTCTGCCATAAGATTCATTGATTCAAATGAGTCTACTATAACTGCAAGTTACTAAGCTAAAGTAAGGTGCAGTTAGAGTGGCCTATTTGAATCAATGGACCATGAGAAATTGACTCACAAAACCCCCATTAAGTGGGGTGATATGCAGTGTTTCCCCAAAAATAAGACAGGGTTTTATATTAATTTTTGCTCCAAAAAGCACATTAGGGCTTATTTTCAGGGGATGCTTAATTTTTTTTCATGTACAATCTACGTTTATTCAAATACAGTCATGTCATCTTCTTCTGGTTGCTGCACAATGGTGGAAGGCAGGTTTCACTTAACTAGGGCTTATTTTGGGGGTAGGGCTTATATTACAAGCATCCTGAAAAATCATACTGGGGCTTATTTTCAGGTTAGGTCTTATTTTCAGGGAAACAGGGTAGTACACTAAGGAACAGGATTTTGGCCACTAATGTGTCCACATATAAACACGCACCAAATTTTAAAAGTAATAAGCTATATTTTTAAGGGCTTGGAAAAGTAATTTCAGCCTATAATAGACATTTACATCAACATTTATTTATTTTAGTTATTTATTTATTCCATTTATACCTCGCCTATCTGGTCATTGTGACCACTCTAGGCGGCTATGTTTAGTAGTAGATGTGTGTAGCTTTTAGTTAATCCAGAAAAGAAATTAAAGTTTTCATGGCTAGCTTTTATTTAGTGAAAGTCAGGCAGCGCCTCAGAGGTTCAAGAATCTTTCCCACTCTTTGTTGCAAATATATATTCCTGTGCCTGAAAAGATTGTGCCAGTGATTAAATAACATCTTCAGACACAAAATAAGATTCTTAGGCAGCTTTTCTTAAAAGACAGGAATATTACTCTGAAGGGACATTTTTAGCTTTAGGGAGTCATAGACAAGAGGGCTCTTATGTCTTCAGACTTTCCCATGCAGAAAACAGGACTGACAATAAATGGAATTATGCTTGTAGTCAAATTCAGTTTATCTTTAAATGCCACAGGGGACTACAATATGCATGCTTTTAAAAAACATGCTTATAAAGACAGACCCAAACTCAAATTAATACATGCAAAACATGGTAAAATGTTGATCTAGCAATGTATTTTGAGCACAGTACTTGTGAAACATGTGGAAAGTCAATAAAGTCTGTTGTACACAACATTTTTCAATGGTAGAAGCAATTCATAAATTAACATTGATTAAGAATGTTAACAAACAACATCTTGTTTCATGGGATAACTTGTATTTGTTTTAAAGGGAAGTAAAGAAGTCACAGAAGACTGTACTGCTGGTTTTAGTCTGGCATGCTTAAAATGAGAAGTGGCTGAATTCTGTATCCTGCTAGTTACATAATGTTTCGTGAGTGACTGTGCTTCCGTTCTTTTTTTCTTGGCCCACATTTGTGACTAATGCTCCTTCACTGTCCTAGAATAATTCAAGACAACAGCGGTGTTGCTTTTGGCACAGAGATTTAGACATCCTCAAGATTCAGTCTACAAATAAAAGGAGATCGGAAAGAGCCAAGATAGAGATGTCCATCATATTCATGTGCTTCACTTATGTATGTTGCCACCATTCCATTTGGGTCATGGAAACTTCTTCTGTAGGATCCAGTATCACTTAGTTCTACAAGGAGGCTGTACTTGGGCACAAATTTTATTACAGTTTCTTGACTGAGCAACTGAAAGACAAGAATACATTTTAGGGACATTTGTATTCTAGTCATGTATGCATTAAAGCCACATATTTATTAAGCCAACAGTCAATGAATATTAGGCAAAATCCAAAGAAACAAAACAAAAAAACTACAAAACGTGGAATCTTAAAGATTATTATATTTTAATGTAAGCTTTTGTGGACACATCTACTTTGTCAGACATGTCCTCCAAAACTACAGTCAATGAATATTGATTTTATATATATAAAAATAATGATTCATGTTTTAAATAACTGAAGATATCAACAAAAGGACATCCACAAAAAGTACAGCCAGATTTAGGCACACTGAAATCCAGTTCATTTCAGTGACAAAGCTACATATGCACTTAAGCCTTGTCCACTTAAATCAATAGGACCAGAGAGTTTATCAACATTGTGTTTGAAATAATTAATAAAATATATTATTTTCTTAGACAGAAATTAATTTCATATTGCACATTCCTAGCAGTTTGTAAGCTTGGGGAATGTTAACTGCTCTGAAACACAGAATCTGTCTACTCACTCATTTCTACAAAGGAAAGAGCAATATGTAATATTTAATAACAAAAAAATTACTTCTAGAACATTTTTTTTACTGGTTAAGATTTTGTCTGTTTCACTAAAATGTAATGAGTATAATGTTAATCTGTTAAAATTAACACAGTGGCTGAACTCATTATTTGTGTAACTACATCATGTATGGTTTAATGGTGTCATCAGTGGCAGCAAATTTTTGGAAATTAAAACAATCCAATTCCCCTCCTGTGAAAGTCCCAAGGCTCCCATGGAACCTCCTCCATCACGGAAAACCTGTTGAGGGAAGTGGCAGTTTTTGGGCAAAAAAAGTGTTACCTGTAACACTAGCATGGCCCAAGACAACGGCTACTGTGGGGCCAGTCTCCATGCCATCAGGTGAAGTGAGCTGAGGTCTGGATGGAATGTCCTGCCATGATTCAGGGTCAATAGATGTGGAACCCTCAGGAGTCAGAAAAGATCTGACGCCATGGTATGCAGGGCAGAGAACCATGATTGGCGGGGCCACCAAAGGGCGACCAGGATGGCATCTGTGTTGTCCTGGTGGATCTTGATAACTGTCTTTTGAATGAGTGGAATAGGCAGGAATAGATAAAGACAGTACAGATTGTTGGTTGTTGTGCGTTTTTCAGGCTCCTTGGCCGTGTTCTGAAGGTTGTTCTTCCTAATGTTTCGCCAGTCTCTGTGACCGACATCCTCAGAGGACAAGAGTCAAAACGCTGTGCTATGGTACAGATTCTTGAGCCTTCTGGGGATTTGTTGAGCAGAGGATGGCTTACTCCAGGACTCCTTGATGAGCTTAAGGAAAGATGGTATAAAAGCCAGGTGAAGAGGAGAACTCTGGTCCTGGATGATGTCTTCATAGACCTTGTCCACCTCTTCAGACACTGGCTGATCCATGGCTAGATACATCATCTTTGCAATTCTCAGAATGAACTGAGAATAGGAAGAATAATCTTCCCACGGGGATGAGGGGTGACTCTCCACAACTTTGGAATCTGGGGTGGGAGTCTTTGGTGGAGAGTCTTTGGCCAACTCGACATCGGAAGTGTTGGAATCGGTATTGAGCGGAATAGGGATCTGTTCCGGCATAGGAAATTGTTCATCTCACACGGAAGCTGGATGGTACACCTCAGGCTCAATGCAGGGCCAACGACTTTATTTCCCTCTCTGCGTTTCAGGATGTCACCAAGATGGATGAGGCGAGGGGCGGTGCTAAGACCCCGACTCCAGGCTGGATGGGCGGCTTGGCATTGAAGCTAGTAAGTAACAGCGCTTGGGTTCAGGTGCTGTCTGATGCTCATCCAGGAGGGCTCTCTTCTGGTATCAGTGAGGAGATGGCAAGACCTGATATTCCTTGTCCAAAACCGGATTCAACTCCAAATACACCTGATAGTGTAGTGGAGAGGGCGAAGATATAGGCAACTGGGCCCAGTAGAACGCATACGTTGGGTGGCACTGGTATCGGGAATCAAAATCATAGGACCTCAGATGATAATAGAGGTTGGGCTCAGAGTCCTCGGGCTCATAATATACTGGGTGCTTGTAAACACGCACCCTCTTAAGGCCTCAATGCCGGTAAGGAGCCTCCACAGGAGCAGCCACATAGTGTGCCAAATGGTAGCGACAGCGCTCCATCTCCCTAGGTGGTTCCACATGGTGTGTCCTCTGTGTCCTCTTCCTAGGAGATCAGGCGGAATCCAGTTCAGTGCTGACAAGGAGGCATGGCCTGAAAGCAAGCTGGGAGGAGAGCACGGGCTCGTCTGCGCCTTTGGAACAACCTCAGCCAGTCTGGAGAGTGACTGCAATGAGGATGAGGTGCAACATCGGGGGGGGGGAAGCAGCATCCTCATCCCCAGACAGTAAGTCAAGACAAACTGGCTCTCAACAAGGAGGAACCTCTGACAAATGTGAAGGCCTGGCCTTATCTGCAACATGCCTGGGCTTCTGCAAGGCTGAGGCCTTCTTCTTCAGCATCGACACAGGCTTTGGCTTCGACACTGAGGAGGCCACTCTCAGCCCAGACGTCAAAGGGTGAGACTTTGTAGTCGTTTTTGAAGCCTTCAACGACTGCTTAGAAGAAGGTGAGCGGCCTGAATCTAGAGAAAGGTCCGTGGTATGAGCCTGGGAACCCTCCATCACAGTTTCTTGTGACAGACACAGGGATTTCTCCCAGAGAAATGACCAGAGCTGCTGAAGCCACAATTTGAGGGCCAGCTTGGTAAAGTTTTTACAGTGGGGCACAAAGCTGGCTGGTGAGCCTTCCCCAAACACACCAAACACTGTGACTGCCTGTCCAAAAGGGTAATTTTGTTCCTGCAGGTCTCACACCACTTAAAAAGGCCCGAAGCAGCCATAAATGGAAAAAAATGCAGTGGAAGGAAGGTAGCAAAAGAAAATACACTAACACCGTTTTTGTTCTTTCTTTTTGGAACTCCCAGGCAATGTGTTTATGTGATCCAGTCCGAGTCGTTATCTGGGAGGTCCAAGAGAGACATAAGTAATTTAGTTGAAACGAATGGAAGAACAAAGACTTCATTCTCATCTGGGGTGGGGAGTCCCAATTTTATTTCTGAAAAAATCACAGCCACTGATGACTTTATCAGCCTTGAACTGCATAGCTGCATGAACAGGATCTCAGCCATTATATCCAAGTTCTGTTTAGAATAATATCTATTTCCCAAAATGTCTCTTTGCTGTTTCCATCTTTTGGGAAGCAGCAAATACATGATTTGAAACCACTAACCCTAACTAGTATTCTGGTTCTGTCACAACATGCCTATTAGACAGATTTTAAACTGCTATTAAAACAATTATGGTCGGAGAGCAGAACCTTAGAATGAAAACTAAAAGTGTTAAAACTAGTTCTAAAGGTATATATCAACTGGCACAATGATTGGGGCAGGACAGTGAATGACTCTATTAAAAAGAAACTTAGATATGAAAAGTAGAATTTCTTTCAAGTGTTTTGAACTCATTCCAGCATAAGAACCATAAGTATTAGATACAAATTTTATCTTAAATAGGTTTGTTTTTACCTTGAATATTATCCTTTTAATCCATGGTCTTTCAGATAAGAAATCCATCATAGAGAAACCAGGATTGGCTCGAACAGCTGACATGGCCACCCAGTAACCTCCAGAGCTGCTTATACGAATGTTGTCTGGAAAGCCAGGCATATTTTCTACAAACATGTCTTCTCCACCTTTCATTAAGCCAGATACGTAATATCTAAAAAGTTAACATACATAACTTCTTACAAACCATAGTGCAAGCCCAAGAACTGTAGATGACTTACACAAGCCTCTAATTCAGCAAGGATGGGAAGTGGAAAAAATATAATGAGGAATTCCAACCTCACCTCTGCACACAGATGAACAAATCTTTGTATGAAGCATATTTCTAAGAAGAAAACTGCATTAAGAACATTTGTCAAATGTTAACCATGCAAAACCATTTGATAAAGATCATGGAGTAGACTGATTTAAGGTGATTTAAATCATCCAAAGAAAACTCTGATTTCAGTAACATTTACCCTGTTGAATAAGTTGACCAATCCCAGTCAAAGAGACTGAATTGGCTTTAAAAACTTCACAGGTTTAGCTTTGAAGTAATTTTTTAAATTTTTATTACTTCACACAATACAGTATGCTACAGATGTCTGTTTTAAAAATTGCATTTTAAAAGTTGATACAGATTTTTTTTAAATATTGTTTCCCCACCCTGTGCAGCAACCTAAACATCCTACTTACCTTCGTATTCTTGCCATTGTTGTTTCAGCCACCAACACAAAATCTTCAGAAGGTGACAGCTGGACTCCATTCGGAAATCTGAGCCCTCCCATTAGGACCTTCACCTCTTTTGTCACAGTGTCATATTCAAGTAAGCTAAGGGCACATAAATTACACCATTAATTAGGAAAGCCACTAAGTGGCCATGGAATTTTCTATTTCTACCTTTCCCGATTATAAAAATAAAGACTAGCTTGTGGAAACAACAATGGTGCATTGAAATCTGTCTACTTGTTTTCAAAAAGCAGGGGTAAAGCCTGCTTCCTGAATTCTACAACAACATAACAGTCTAATCTATTTGGTTTGCTGCCAGTAGCTAGCTGGCTCCTCAAATTAGGCACCCCAGTAAAAAAGGTAATAAGGCTATTCAGTGTACCACTCACTCAACAATCCCAAGTGTGACTAAAAATATAGCTTAGTTTTTGGCTAATTAGATATTAGTAAAAAGCATCATCAAAATATTTTATTCTCCAACACTTAGGGAATTGTATAGTATGAGAGAGTTTTCAGCCAGAAGCAAAGGATCATTTCCAGTTTCAGCCATACACCTCCAACTACAGGCTTGGCTGTACAGGCTTGGCTGGCATAAGGAAGTGAAGCCGTTGTAACCATGTACTGTAGCCCATTTCAATAACGAAGTTGGAATGTTTCTGCTGTCATGATGAGCACCAGTAGGTTCATCAGTTTCACTGTTGCAGTAAAGTCAAAGCACCCTCTTGCAGCAAGACCATGAAGGATAATAAGGCCATTATTTTAATCCAGTTTTCCTACAGACTTCTGGTAATCAGAGGTCATCTAGTAATATCATATGTTCATTACAGCTAAAATGGAGAAAACGGAATAATGGGGACAAGAAATGGCAGAATGTATAGTTATATACCAAAAGTGACTCCAGAAGCCCTGTATCACAACACAAGAAATCAAAGGAACTGCATGATCACCAAGCCAAAACTCAATGATGAGGCAAAGCACAGGCAACTCAATAATATGAATGTGTAATTTGTACACCTGTTCTCCCTGCCTAAAGCAAACCTAACAAGGCACAGATCAGGAACCCTACTCAGAGAAAGCCACAGAGATGGATGCTTCATGTCACCACAAATAGGGTTCAGGTTCCTTTCATTGGTTTTTAGAAAAGAACTGAAATACTAACCATACCTATTAAATTGAAGGACTACATGGATGGTTTGTGTTCTTCCATGTTCCCCTCATCTGTGTAGCCTTCTGTTCACCCCATGGTGTATAAAATCATCTAGAAATTCCTATTGTGGCAGTGTTGCAAGGGCCGCTGTCAGCAGCCAATCAGAATGCGGGGAACGACTGGGAATGTCGCACTGAGTGGCTGGAACCTAGTGAGGAGGAGAGTTCCTTCTTTGCTTTTATCATCACTGAACTTGCTTGCCTGCTTGAACCAGGCAAACAGTGAGCAACTAACCAGCAGTTCTGCTGTGGTGCCTACAGGAAGCAGATTAGGACTGGGAAGCCAAGAGAGGAGATGGGAGCAGGCTTTGCCTCCCCTCAATGGTGTGAGGAAGCCACTCTGTCTAAAGGGAGGCTGAAGCAATGCAGGGCAGGTAGCAGAAGGGAAAAAGAAGGCAACAGCAGTGGTGGTATTGTCAGACAGTGGTGGGTGCCCTCCTGATATTTGCCATCCCTTTAAGAGATTGCTGTGCCCACCACTTCCTCATTTGCTTGCTAGCTCAAGGGACACTGTTCCACAAATCAGCCCTTGGTAATAGTGGCGGCGGCAGCAGATGGAAAAGAGTGACCACCCTTGGCTGAGCCTTGGAGGCAGCATTGATAGTGGTGAGTGAGTGCCGCACTTTGGGGAGGCACTTTAGGGGGCTCTTTGACTGTATCTACTATAAGCTGATATGAATTAAATGAGGATGTTGTTGGTGTGCACTTCCCTAGTAAGCCACAGAAGGGCAGCTGATCTCTCCAATGTTACCACATTATGCCACTTGCTACTGCTCTCAGTATCTGCTCATGCTCCAGTCCTAGATACTCTCCTTCTTTCCAGTATCACAGACATGGCATATTATTGAGAAAACATAGAATCATAGAATAACGAAGTTGGAAGGGGCCTATAAGGCCATTTAGTCCAACCCCCTGATCAATGCAAGAATACAATCAAAGAATATCTGCCAGGTGGTTGTCCAAATTTCTCTTAAATGCCTCCAGTGTTGGAACGCTCATCATCTCTCAAGGTAACTGGTTCCACTGCTGTACTACTTTAACAGTTAGGAAGCTTTTCCTGATACTCAACTGAAACCTGGCTTCCTGTAACTTGAGCCCTTTTTTTGAGTGTCCTGCACTCTGGGCTGATCGAGAAGAGATCCTCATGGTAGTTTGGACTGCAATTGAGGGATGAGTATCATTGACAATTGTACAGATCAAAAAGGAACTCTTCTTCTGAAAAGTCTTCAGCTCAGGGTTGGACTGTACATTTAATTAGATTTTTATAATTTACATAATTTTAATTTGGAATTAGCATACTAAGAACAAACACCTATCTCTAGAAACTGCAGATTAGGCAGTCCTAACGGTGCCACAGATCAGAAAATAATTCACCAAATACTGTCACCCTGCTTAGTCAACATTCTGCTTTGGCAGTTGATGCTCAAAAGTAATATGAAGATTTTTAAGCGTCTATGACCAGTGCACTTACCGGCCCTCATCTGATGCCTCCATGATTAGTAAGGAGTAATCTTTTCTGTGCCATTTACTGCTTGAGTCAGTAAAGTAGATCTTTCTTCCATCCCGGGTCAAAGTAAGATCGTTTACAAATAACATTTTCTTTCCCTCAATGGGAGTCTTGGAAGATACAAGCAGTTTCACTTCACCTGATCACAAAAAGAGAAGTGGTTCTTGTGACCTCTCAACTCTTTAGCATCTGATAATTTTTACCTTTCAAACTCAAAAGCCACCTCTGAATGGGTACCAAATGACAAAACTAAAATATGTCAAAGAAGCATTTTCATTATTTTGGCTCAGAAGATAAAGCTGTGCGCATATGTTAATGTTTTGGTTTTGTTGTTAAATTCATGCATTAGATTCTGGCTGAACTCCTGTTGCTTAGTGCAGTAAGTTATAACTAGAATAGGTCCCCCTGATTCAATGGGCCTACTCTAGTTGTGACTTATCACACTGAGCCACAGGATTTCAGTCATTAAGCCTGATTTTAAGTTTTTAAAGTATACAAACCCTTGGATTCAGGCATCAGGTATAATGTTCTCTGAACCTTTTGCAAAAGAAGCTCTGACTATTAGGTCAGTTTAGAACTGTGTTTTTTTCCACAGAGCTTAGAGCACCATTGTAGCCCAGAGTATGGGCAATTTCAGCAGGTCTGAGTCCAGTTTTCTATGCTTGGGACCCTCCACTGGTCATATAGGCAGCAAAAGCAAAACAAAAACCAACCAACCCTGAAAAAAAAACACACTTCTGATTTTGAGAAATTGGCATTTTGGAAAACTAAACATTGCAGAGAGGCCTTATGACTAGAGATGGGAGTATTGATATACAAATACAGATATCCCTGCACAGGTGGTGATAACAAGGGTCCATCCCCATGGGTCCAGCCCCATTAGCACCACCTGTGTGGGGATATTTGCATACGAATACCGTCCTCTCTATTTATGACATATTTAATATTTGAAACAATTATCTTAGAGGCTTAAAGGAGCAGCAATTCACCTTTTTTGTTTTTGCTAGGAAAAAAACATTCTTAATGGGAGAAGTGGAGAAGTCTGATGGAGCCAGGGGCTGCAAAAACAGCATTTGGTGGCTGAAAGCAACTTCACTTTGCCTATCTTGGTCTTTTGCCCAGCAAATCTGTAAAGTGGAGGAAGGCTAAGCGATAGAACCTGCCAAGCCCCATCTACGTGAGTCACAGCTAAGTTGAACTTCTTTAACCTCCTTTCCCGAAATCAGAATCCTACATTCAAAAGTTCTACAACATTTCTTATCTAAGGCTAATCATCTCTGAATGAATGAAAAGCATACTAAGTTGCATACTATGAAAGGACAACTTACTATTGTCTTGTGATCACCACTTCACCAAACTATCTCTCTGTTCGAAAACTGTAGGCTGAGGAGAAATTGCCACAGCCTTCCGCAAACCACTTAGTAATAAATTTAAATTCAAGACATCAGGTGTCTCCATAACTGTGTGGTAAACAACTCATTTGGTGGTATTTACTTATACCCTGGCTTTTAAAAAATATTCCTTAAGGATTTGAAAACAAATATTCCAAAATTCATCAATAAGATTCAAAACAATTCCTTGTTTTATGCATAGTTCAGTATAAAGATACTGATACCATTAACCAAACATTGCCACAAAGATACATCTCTACTATGCAAATACAAAGTATTCCAATCTATTTTAATCATTAGTTTGCATAGGCCTAATCAATAGCAAGGAGTAGGAAAAAAGAGAGAATGAAAAGGAATACAAGCAAAGCAAGGCATCAAAATGATGCTCATTGTGCACACATGTAACTTATGTAACTTTATTCATCTTACTGCTTGAGCTTATTTAGAACATGGTGCATAAAAATGTAGGATATGTTTGATATGCTACATTCTGTCTCAGGACATCACTTCAAATTTTGCTTCCCCTCTCCAACAAGCCTTGGTTTTAAGCTTCAGTCCTCAATGGTTGGTTGTATAAGTGAGGACTTAAGACCAATCTATTGCTGTATTTAAGAAAGAGAAATGGAGTTAACAAAACCAGCTGTATCTCAGAAAGATTAGAAGGAAGTAGACAATTTAGGAATGAACAACAGCAGGAAGTCTCATCAGGACTTTATCCTTTTGTTCAGTCACTAGAGGAAAGGATATTTTCCATAACAAGCAGTTTCTGGAAGTTAGTTACCCAACCCCAACCACAAAAGGTACCTTAAAAAGATATGCTCCTGGGGTCTGCTGATGGCCTTGGAAGGTGATCCAGTTAAACAGTTCTACGCGTACATATTAACAGTATAATTCTTGCTTTAAAAACTCATGCAAGCTGCCCCTTCCCAATTCCTCACTCTACATTAGAAGGTTTTTGAGGAACATGGTTTTGCAGGAGGAGGGAGAAAAGAATCCTTTATCCTAGAACCTCTTTGGATACCACCTATTACATTATGCAGTGGTCCCCAACCTTGGGCCTCCAGATGTTCTTGGACTAGAACTCCCAGAAGCCTTTACCACCACCTCTGCTGACCAGGATTTCTGGGAGTTGAAGTCCAAGAACATCTGGAGCCCATGGTTGGGGACCATTGACATTATGCATAAGCCACTATGAACTCCCTATGTGCAGCATGGGATACCAGCCACTACACTACATATAAGGTATTGTGAACTCTTTCTGTAAGTAGTAATCACTGGGATTTCTACTGCAAATCAAAAATAAAGGCCAGGATCCTATTAAGAGAAATTGTGCATGGAAGGGCAATTGTGCATCACATTATCTTCTCTGGCAGGCCCCACCTGCACAAAAGACCTCACAAACAGTAAGACCAAGCATACAAAGTGGAGCCTGCTAGAAAAGCCCTTCCAATCCTCGCTCTACTAACAGGAGTAACTCAAGCTACTGTACTTAAATCAGAACTTGTTTGGAATAACTTGGTCAGTGGAAATGTTACAATTGGTTTTAATCCTTATATTGTTCCACAGCGCCACATAAATATACTCCATGCAAATAATAGGAAAACAACGAAAGTTGAAATAAGGCAGAGAAACAAACAGTAACTCAAGCAAACTTTCAGACCTCCTAACTCTAAAAGAGGATAAAGCCTACCTGAGACAGGATTAATCTCAAAAAGGCCATAGTAGGCATCTGCCACAAAAAGGGTGCTATTTGGTCCAACACGTATTCCAAGAGGTCTCCCACATGCAGGTTCATCTTCTCTGCTACCTTTTGAGACAAATTTGTAACAGGGTCACAATCATCAGCTTGTATGTCAAAGTTTCAGTTCTGCTTCAGAAAAGTAATACCAATAGCCTAGAATGTAATCCATAGGAAGACAATGGGAGTGTTTGCAAATAAATGGAAAAGTGACAAATTAATCTTGAACACTGGTATAAAGAAATGTGGAGTTTAGCAAGTGATGATAAGTTAATATGTGAAATGAAAGTAAGGAGAGGAATGGTAAAGTCTAATGACTTCAAAGATGTATGAAATTTATATGTGGAATATGTCTTTTTGAAGGGGAAAGGCCATTATGCCAGCAGAAGAATCAATATATTTCTAGAAAGGAATGGGGTGAAAAGGTGTACACATTGATATTACTGGTTACCTAGTCCCAAGGGTGAACGTCACATGAGTGGGAAATGTTTATTGTGTATTGTGTGTAGTTATTACTGAGTTTGTATTTCAGTTTTATTTCTGTTGTTTGTAATTTTCTTTTTTATCATTTAAAAGAAGAGCAGTGGTAGAGATTTTAATGAACATTCAGCTTTGCTTTTGTGACATTAGGAGCAAGTTCCAAAAAGAAAACCGTGAATCCATTGGAGAAAAATAATATTTTAAACACGAAAGGTTTACTGTGATAAAAGCTTTCATGAATAAAATCTAACTGTTTTATATGGAAGAACCTCTAGCACTAGATTTTCACTTAGCTTTAATGTTTTTGATTATATTTTAAAACACGCTATTCTTGCTATATGCAAAACAATGACATCACAGAACTGACTTTCAGTGCCCTCTTCTGGTCATTTTTAAAAAATGTAAGCAAACTGATAAAAACAGCTTCAGTGCCAGTAACAACACAAAATTAAGCTTAACATATTTTATCTTTTTCTAAATTATCAATTTTAGAACAGAGCCCTTCTCTTTGTTCATATACTGTATTTGATTATTTCCAGATGAAGTTAAATTCCCCTCACAGCCAAATTTCAGTTTTCTCTTAGATTTATTGACTCACAGGGCCTGAGAAGTAGTATAGCCACTGGGCAATATATTCAGGTCCTCCTTTTTCTGAAAAGATGTTATTTCCACCCATCTTTGTAGAAAAGCACTTCCAAGCAAAACAATGCAGAGTTACCTCCCTCATCCTACAGTACACTAAACCAATCAGCGAGGAAAGTATAACTTTGTTTTCTACTGACCAAGAAGCCCACGTGAGACAGACAGGATAGATGCAGCTTGGAGTTCACTGTGAGGACAATCTGAGTCCTCATAGTAAAAGACCAAATGTTTCTAATTTTCCAACTCTCAGTAAATTTCAGAAGAAATTTAAGATCATTGTATCACCCAAACAGAACAATTTTTTATGCATCTTTCCATTATATCTTGGAACAACAGCACACCAGAAAGATTTAAAATCCAACCTTCCTCTCTACCTGCTTACTTTTAACATTTTTCCTGATTAAAAAAAATACATCTTCTGCCCTTTTTGGCTGACCTAATATAGGTATTGGCTCAGTATGGATTCTGGAACATGTTTTATGGCAACACAATTATCCCTGCCCTGCAGCCCACCCAGTAAAAATGCCTGAAGAGGAAGGAGGACATCATCAGTTTAAGTTCTAGAAGCACATGGAGCAAAGAAATAAAACTTCAAGCAGATAAGGAAAGCTATACATGAAAGATAATTTAGAAGAAATCAAAACATATTTTTGACATAGTACATGCAAGTTCACACTAAAACTGTATCTTAAGGATTCAAGGCAGCATACATGGCTCTCCTCTTCTCCACCTCATTCACTTTTTTCCTGCTTTGAAAGGAAGAGAATCTGTTTTCATGGTGTGCCAATATAAACATCAGTTAGAACTGGTCTATTAGGAAATAAATATGTCATTGTACCTTTAAACAAATTACCTACTATGCATATTTAAAGATATGCAAAGAAAATGCAAACCGGGTGGATAAAAATCAATGATTTTTTAAAAAATCAAACTGATTTAAATCACAATTTAAATTCAAAAAATATTTTTATTTAAATAATCATTTTTTAAATTTTTTTGATTTACATTAATTTCATTTAAATCAAATACACCCTGATGCAAACACTAACAAGCTAATTACGGCACACTTCAAACAATAAAACAAACAAACAAAATAAGTAGATATAACTTACTACATGGGCCATGGCCAAGTTGGGCTAGTATATGTATTTCTCCATTTTCAATTTTCAGAATTTTTCCGTCAGCAGTACCAGTGAACAACACATCTAAAAGGGATGGGTTAAGAAAAAATCAGAATGTAAGAAGTATTGATTCATGCACTACTCTTCCACAAACATGCCGACTTCATGCTAGCAGATACTCACCGGTTAATATTAGGTGAACACACTCAAGTAAGACAGCAGCATATCTTAAGTAAGGACAACTTACTTGCCTAAACTGTCGAATTTTTTTAGTGGCCATCTCTGCACTTACATATATGAGTCCCGAACTTGTGCTGGGTCTAGTTTTGAACATTGTAGCACTAAAAGGTTTGGCAGGAGCCTGTTCTCTCCTACAACAATGGTTCCCAACTTTGGGTCCCCAGATGTTCTTGGACTAAAACTCCCAAAAGCTTTCACTAGTTGTGCTGGCCATGATTTCTGTGAGTTGTAGTCCAAGAATTCTGGGGGCCCAAGGCTGGGAAGAACTCCCCTACAATGTACATGACTAAAGAGTGTGTGACTAGCTAATTTGTTTATATGGTTAAGCTAGCAATTTAGATTAGTAGTATTAATGATGATGGGGAACTGTATATGCAGATGTGCTGAATAAGGGAATAATACAGATCATAAATTGTATTCAATAAAATTATTAATCATATTCACACCTATCACCTAGTCATTGGTACAAATAGTTACTAGTAAACAGAGCCTTAAAACCTAGAGGGATCCTTACACATTAACAATGGGAGCAAGATCTGTTTACATATTCTGAAGGCAGCACCACCATATTTAGATCGTGTGAAACTGCTTGAGTCTGCTTCTGCATGGACCAAGAAAATATCTAAAGTGGTAAGTTAAAGTAGGAACACCATAGCTTCCTAGAACTAAGAATGGCTCAGTCGGAACAAACAAGGCCAAGTATCTTGTTTTCTACACTGTCAGAAACTTGCAAGCAGGACATGAACACTTTAGCTTTCTCTCCCATGGCTGCTCCTCACCAGATGGTATTTTTGCCTCTCAGTAAGAAAGTTGCATATAGCTGCCATGACAGACATGTAACCATAAAAACGTACAACTAGATTTTGATCCCAGCATGTCAGGGTTCCCAAGATACAATATAGACACAGTTTTGATTACTGGGCAAGGTCTAACTCGTGTCACATTGCCCCCATTAGCATCTGTTCTGTTTGCATCTTTTGTAACAGATGCGCAACAAATGGCAAAACAGTGTCAGTGGGAATGGAGAGAAAAGGATAGCAATTAATTGGCCAAATGAGAATACATAAATGGACAGGGCTTGAAAAATGCACTCGTCCACTCATTTGTGACAAGTGAAAAATGCTGCTGGACGAGTCACAGTTCCCTTCCTGCCTCCTTCCCCTCCAACTGTCTCTCTCTCTCTCTAATCCTGCAGTCCTGTCCTCCCATGCCCCCTCCCATTACAAAAGGAAAACTGTTCGAGCAGTACATATAGCTCTGCAGGAGAATGTAGAGTAGTCCCATACTGGAGAATATGGAGATTCACTGCTCCCAATTTCAACTGAACGAGGACACATCCTGGGGTGGGAGGGAACCGTGGCTCCTTAAGAGGCTGGGCACTTTTGATTTCAGTTTTATTTTTACTGGAGACATTCAAAAGAAAAGCATTCAAAATACAAGCTTCATGACCCCGCAGGCACGCAGGTAACAAAGCAATCCAAGTCTGAGAGTATAAATCAGCGATTCCCAATCCCAATAAATTGCAAGGCTATAGCCCAGTCATGCTGACTGGTGAAATTTTTGACTGACTGGTGAGACATTCTAAACTTTTTCAAGCCCTGTACATGGATACATAGATACATTTCTATACTGCCTTTCATTTCCAAAATCTTAAAGCAATTTACAATACTGCATTTTTACTTTACTTGCTTGGGGTTTTTAGAGTTTAGACTAGAGACTGAGGTATTCGTATTCAAATACAAATATCCCCCCACAGGTGCAGATAATGAGGGTCAGACCCCCGGGGCCAGACAGACCACTCACAATTCCACCACTGCTGTGGGCTCCAGACTCCCTGTTGCTCCGGAGCTTGCGATGGATTAGCCACTCCTGGCAGAAGGTGGGATGATGAGCTGTTCTGCCAGGTTGAAGAGTGGCTAATCCATGGCGAACTCCAGAGCAACAGGAAGGGAGTCCAGAGTCAGCAGCAGTGGCGGAATTGTGAGTGGTCGGTCTGGCCCCAAGGGGCTGGACCCTCGTTATCTGCACCTGTGGGGGGGGATATTCATGTTCATATGTGAATACCTCCATCTCTAGTTCAGACCAAAGACTTCGTCAACTCCAGGTAAAAAAAATACTAGTCAGGAAAAAAAAGACTAGAAGACTGGAAAAGAACACAGATTTCAAATTTTACAAGTTCTTCCACAAAATGTTTGCAAATGGGAACAGATACAGTAGTTTCAAACACACCCACACAGAGAATACATTGAAAACAGATAGCCTTATATTTTGAGAGAAGAAGGGATCAGATGATAAATGCATCACAGATCTTACAATTAGTAAGATCTTTGTGCTTTTTAAAAATCCTTAAAGTTCCTGCATTTCTTTGCTGTTTCAGTAGCGCTAGGCCTATTGCACAGAATTACTCCATCCGGACTGAAGAGCTCTTGTATCATAAAGAGAATTCCTTGCACAACTTCCAGCATTTGAATGAATCCATTTCCATCATTATGACCACATTGTGCAATGGTGAACTCTTGAGACACAACTTTACAAGAAAACACCTTGAGTTTACTCTCTACTTTATTTAAACAAGCCATAGGCATGAACCACCCAGATATGCAACAGCCTGTAACTAGCTGCCTGGTTGTGCAACTTCAGTAACCTAAGCAAACTTTTGTGAAGGAACAAAGCTGTCTATTGCTCAACAGTGTTCAAACCTGCTGAACATTAAAAGCCAACAAAAGGAATGCTGAGGAACAGCAGCAAAAACTCATTTCCCTGCAGAAGAAAATTTGCAAATGTATCTTGTACTATTTACAGTAGATATAAAAACTTCACACACCTTCAAATGTCAAGTGTCTGTGATGTAGAAAAATGAGACAAAGATAAATCATTTCAGAACTTTTTCCTCCTTTATGAGACCTATGACCTGTACAACTCAGTTGAACAACAAACTGAAATCTTTTAAGGGGAGGGAAGTAAAAATAAAAAACTGAAATAATATGGTACATATTTGTGCACACCCTTAAACTAATACTTTGTCGAAGCACCTTTTGATTTTATTACAGCACTCAGCCTTTTTAGGTATGAGTCTATCAGTATGGCATGTTTTGACTTGGCAATATTTGCCCAGTATTCTTTGCAAAAACACTCCAAATCTGTCAGATTGCAAGGGTGTCTCCTGTGCACAGCCCTCTTTAGATCACCCCACATATATTCAATCGGATTAAGGTCTGGTCTCTGGCTGGGAAATTCCAAAATGTTAATCTTCTTCTGGTTGATTTGGATGTATGCTTTGGCTCACTGCCACGCTGAAAGATGAAGTTTCTCCTCACGTTCAGCTTTCTAGCAGAAGCCTGAAGGTTTTGTGCCAATATTGACTGGTATTTGGGATTGTTCGTAATTCTCTCTACCTTGACTAAGGTCTCTGTCCCAGCTGAAGAAAACCATCCCCATGCTTTACTATGGATATGGTGTCCTTTTGGTGATTGCAGTGTTGTTTTTGCATCAAATATATCTTCTGGAATTACGGCTGAAAAGTTCAACCTTGGTTTCATCAGACCATAACACTTTTCCCCACATGCTTCCATCTTGCCACTCTATCCTGTAGCCCAGACATATGAAGAATACGGGAGATTATTGTCACATGTACCATACAGCCAGTACTTGCCAGATATTCCTGCAACTCCTTTAATGTTGCTGTAGGCCTCTTGGCAGCCTCCCTGACCAATTTTCTTATAGTCTCTTCATCAATTTTGCAGGGACGTCCAATTCTTGGTAATGTCACCGTTGTGCCATATTTTCTCCACTTGATGTCTGTCTTCTCTGTGTTCCATGGTATATCTAATGCCTTGCAAATTATTTTGTACCCTTCTACCTTTTAACAATGAGATCCCTCTGATGCTTTGGAAGCTCTCTGCGGACCATGGCTTCTGCTGTAGGATGTGACTAAGAAAATGTCAGGAAAGACCTATTAGCACAGCTGATCTTTATTTGGGATTCCTCAGAGGCACTTTAAATGATGGCAGGGGTGTACTGACTCCTACTTGACATGGTTTTGAATGTGAATGTTTACTGCTGAACACAGCTACATCCCCAGTTATAAGAGGGTGTGCACACAGTTGACACCATATTATTTCAGGGGGTTTTTTACTTCCCTTCACCTAAAAGATTTCAGTTTGTTGTTCAACTGAGTTGTACAGTTCACAAGTCTCATTAAAGGTAGAAAAAGTTCTTTGTCTCATTTTTTTACATCACAGACACTTGACATTTTAACAGGGGTGTGTAAACTTTCTATATCCACCGTATGTATCTGCTATGGGATCATTCTGGAATATATTAAGAAAATCATAGGCCAGGCCCAAAGCAAAGGCATAAAACTTTGGTTCATAAAAACAGGCCCTGTCAGCAGAACCACCTGAAAAAAAAAGTTGACAGGGCCATCCAAGAGAGAAGAAGGCAGTTGGCAAGAAATGAAGTATGACTCCAAAATACATATATTTTTGGTTTCATGGCATTTTTAGATAATTGATGCTTGTCCCATTGAGGGTCAGCAAAAATGTGGAACTGCTGAATACTGTAAATAAGGTGTACCAAGGCTATATGTATAAATATGTCTTGCTGTATGCACCAGGTGCCATTATGACTGGATACCTACCTGATTTTTGTCAAAAGATCCAATTTTTAAAATTTAAATTGTGATTTAAATGGTGATTTAAATGAATTTGATTTAAATCAAATGCATCTTGCAGCTATCCTTGTTGTGGGGCCACCAGATAATACACTGCCTTGTGCACTTAATTACACATGTGAGTTCTGAATTAACAGGTAATTAATAAACAAACAAGTGAACTGTTTATCAAAATGTAGCTGTCTATCCTGGAAAAAATATTACCTAAGAGCTAATCCATCTAACACTTTCATAATCTATACCAACACTGGTCCTCAGAACCACAAAGGCGGCCACTTAAGCAAAGCAAACATTGATATGCTCAGCTCGCATGGCCAATTCCTGCATTCTGGAGCAGAAATTCAACCTCCAATTTAATTATTTTTAAAATGCACACCCCATCCTCCCATGCTATTTACCATTCTTCAGATGAATTACAACATTAAAAATGCAATAAAACAACAGTATAATGCAACATCTGAGTCTAAGGATAAATACAGTATGTAGCACAAAGCAATGAAGCTGACTATCCACTGACTGGAACTGTAATATACAGGAAATATGTAAAATATGACAGAGAATAAATCAAGTACAATAATAGAATAACTGAATTAGAAAGGGCCTATAAGACTATCAAATCCAACACCCTGCTCAATGCAGGAACCAACATCCCTATACTTGGAAAATTGCTTGGTAAAGTAAAATGAAATTAGGTCTTCACCTAATTTCACCTAGGTTAATTTCACCTAGGTTAATTTCACCTAGTTAATTTCACCTAGGTCTTCACCTAATTTCACCTAGTTATGTCAGCAAGAACAAACATTAAGTTTACTGCCCATTCAGCTATTTAATTTTTTTAAGATTCAGAAGCACAGATATTCCATCTTTATTTGCTTTAAAACTAAAGATGCAGGGATACAAACATTTGCTGACATTCGCAATTAAACTAAACAATTTAATTCACATTTCTATATAAGGCTATGACAATTTCCTAAAAAATAGGGAGGGTGCCTGGCTACATTTGGTCCGGGCATTATATTGATGTATAGCTATTGGGATCATGTGGGATTCTGTGTTTTTAATTTGCAAACTGTCCAGAGTAGTGTGTTCACTAGAGGGATTATATATAAATCAAATCAAATGCATAAATACATAGCTACATAAATAGAGAGCCAATCACATTCAATACAGACAACACCAAGCAAATGAACCTACAATTTGGCTCAGAGTAATGCAACTTCTTAGGTTCACTTGTCTATGGAAAATTTCCCACCCATCTTAAACTACAAAGGAATAAATTTACATACAGTGCAACATTTCAGTAATCATTTTATTCCATCTCTCAAATATGGTATAATTCTTTGAGAAGCCCACTGCATCATGATTTATATATTATCAACACAACGAGTATAACTTTAATTTAACAAAAGAGTTGTGGGGAAATTATTCTTTCTTTAAAACATTTGGGAAAAAGCTGGGGCAGCAGGGATGTTGAGGGCAGGACATTTTGGAGGTCACTGATTCATCGGGTCACCATACGTTGGAGGCCACTGATGGCACATAACAACAACAACACTGCCTTCCCAAAACTCTTTCCTCTCAGATGTTTTTGACCACAACAGCCAACAGTCTCAGCAGGAACAAGAAGCAATGATGATGGTAGTTGTCATCCAAATCTTCTGGAGGATATGAGGTTGGGAAGGCTATGAAGCTTTAAGTATGGGTGCCCATGTCTATGGCCCAAGAGAATGGAAAACTTTATAGTTAATCTCTTAAAGACCCTACATGTTTAAAAGTCTTTAACTGTAAAGTGACTATTAAACAGGCACTTAAAATTCCCAGCTGATTCACATACTTACCACCAATATTTGCAATAGATTCTGGCCCAACAAGCTGGTTTTCAAACAGCCTTTCTGCTTGTCGAAGCTTAATGTTTGGCTCTAATGCCCCAGTGAGGAGAGGAGGTTCTTTGAAGCTAGAAAAGAGATTATTTTATCAGCACATTTCCAAGTATGTTAAGAGACAAGCACTACGGAATCACATTTTTTCAGTCAGCCAACTAAGCTGCAAGCATCAGACATTTTTTAAAGTACCATCATGTATTTTCTTCAGTGTTAAATGTTTAATCTAACACATTCACGTGTAGTAACACCCTGCATCAGCTTACAGCTAAAGCATCTTTTTTGGCCTAAGTTTGGACAGAAGGTCCAGAAGCCATTCACAATTGAAACATTGGTTACAAGTTAGTGTGATACCATTCTTGATGCATGGGAACTATTCCAATGAATTGAAGACCACAGCTACACATCGTAACCAGATAGTCACATTTTACATGGACAACCAAAATGCAATCAAAGAACCACTGCAACAGGGGCCCATGTTCAATATACCTGCGGAACCCAAATAAACTTAAAACTAGCCTCTATTACAAGAATATAGGCATATTAGTGTAATAAAAAATCTCAAGTTGAAATACCTTGTTACCTCCTCCCAGTTAAAGGTAACAAGTGGGGTACCTCAAGGCTCAGTCCTGAGCCCGGCGCTCTTCAGTCTTGGTTAATTATATATTCAGTTCCAACGTTCCATTAAGTTTCAATGCAACCTTCAGTTTCAACATTTCAGTCTCAATATATTTATCAATTTTCTGACATTTTGGTCCAGTTCTCTTTCAACAAACATCTTTGAATACCTTGTTCAAAACTCTTTTAAAACAAGCTTATTTCAATGTACTCTCTTCCAGAAACAGATAATCCCAACAAAGACATGGTGATTACTTTGAAAAATATAATTCAATCATCAGGAAAACTGGATAATCAACAAACTACCCAGCAGCTTGGGATAAAAAATAAATCTCTTACCTAGATGAAATGGAATACTTAGGCAGCTTAAGATGACAGAATGTAGTTACCTTGCAATGGATATTGTTGGTTGTCGCAGTTATTTCCCTGTTTTTAGTTTGCTTTGCAATCTTTAATCCTATCCTGTACTGTTAGGATAATGCAAGCTAAGCTAAATGGACTAAAAGTGAACCCAGTGCATAAGGCAATATGAAATTGAGGTTTTAAGGATACATAAAAATGGTTCAGATTTTTTCTTCCCAAGTTTTAAACATCCACAACATGTAATCTATAGCTCCTACCAATTCTCCCCATGATGGTCTCAGCTCATGTCAAATCTCTTGTTACCTACATGCCCTATAAGAACACCCAGGCATTAAGACAAAATAAATTATCAATACTATGGTACATTGCTACAACAGAAACAGAGTACTATGTTACACAACAGAGTATCAAGTTTACAACAGGAAGAAAAAGAACCGCATCTAACATGAGAGATACCATTATATATGTTCTTTTGAGAATTTAGCCCCAATTTGGACTGCTTAAGAATTGAAGCAAATTACACTCACTTAGACTCACAGAGCTAGAAGAGATACTAAGTGTCATCATATCCAGCCTCCTGCCACTGCAGACTTGTGTTTGTCTCTATAATCATATTCATACATATTTTCTGATGCATTTCATGCTTTCCTCTCAGTGAAATACAGTATTCCCTAAATTATGTTAGATCCAATCAATTTAAGACTTTCATAATCGATACCAGCACTGGTTCAGAACTAAAAAGGTAGCCAATTCAGCAAAACAAACATTGATATACTAGGCTTTTCATGGCCAATTTCTGCATTCTGGAGCAAGAATTCAACCTCAATTTTTATTTCTAAAATGCACAATCCACCCTTGAATGCTATTTAGCATTCATTAGATGGTTTACAACTTAAAAATGCAATAAATCAATACTAAAATGCAGCATCTGAGTCCAGGAATAAATATATAGCACAAAAAGCAATAAAGATAATTATCAACTGATTAGAATAGCATTATAAGGGAAATCTGTAAACTCTGATAGACGTTATTGCTTATATAATGTTTGGTATTGTTGAAAGCTTTAACACAGGTTAAAACCAATTCTTTTTAATGTAAAAATCACTTGTTACGCTAGCAGTTATAAAAGAACTGCTTTTTTCCCTTCTCCTTCCCTTTTGCACCCTTCTATGCTGTGTAAAAACAAGTACTATAGGCTTTCCCACCCCTCCAAAGCTGGACTTGTCGTGCATGACAAGTAGATTACCCAGCAGTGGAACTTCCTTCTAGTTCACATACATTTCCCAACAACATGCAACATCCCATAAAGAATGGTGATACTGCAGCATGTAATACTCTTGTGAATGGGCAGTGTTAAAACACAGGATGTAAACACATATGATGGAATTGGTGCTCCCCAACTGTTCAAAATCAAGTTCAAAAGTTTATCTAGCAACACCACAGAAAGGATGATTAAGATGGAGGCTCCCAAGACTATTAAAAGAAAACCAGTGCTGTCTTTCCCTCTCACACGGCTGTGCTGGCATCCACAGAAGGCATAGGCTGGAGTTCCATGAAGGCCTGCATAGCCGAGACAAAATTTGGCAGCAGGCCCAAGTCCAGAAGAGTGTAACTGCCAAGCCACCTCTATCTTCCACAAATTATGGAATGTCTCCTGGCCTAGCAATGATTTCTGATCAGTTTCCAGTAATTAATCCGAGAAAGCTGTATAGATAAGAAGATTATGGCAGTACTCGGTTTTGCCTCGCTGATCTTTCTCTTCAGACTGTCTAGTCTAGAAAGAAATGCAATTGTTTTACAGCTGGAATAATTTGTATCCTTTTAACAACATAGTGATGTTTTCAGTGAAACATTTCAACTCACGAGGTTCATATGAAATTTAAGTTCATGCAAATGCTCACCTGATAGGCTGAGGGTCTATGGGGCATTCCAGAAGGACTATTGCTCCAAACAAGGGAATAATTAGTGATACAGCCAGAGTCATGAAAGTCACACGGAATACTTTGTTGCTGTAAGTACTGCAGTAAAAAAACACAGAACATAGATGTTAAAGTTTTAGTGTATCATTGCAGGTTTGCTTATTTTAAAAAAACAACCTGCCAATTTTAGGCCAAGATTACATTTTATCAATGGGTAAAGCAAATTATACAAATATGCACCAGGAATGCATTTATATTTGCTTTCTAGGTAAGCATGATGTATAAAGAAAGATGTTATTTTAGAGAGTTACAAGATAAAACATTCCAAACTAATTACTTTAAATCAATGAACTCAGGAATGAGCAATACATTCTGTACATAATACAGCCTTCGGGGAATTGTAGAAAGTACCAGCGGAAAAAACAACACATCAAAGGATTCCTGTGTAGAAATAATCCCAGTAGACACAAAATAGGATGCCTAGGAAAAATATAGCACATTTCTCCTCCCTATATATCAGTTTTCCACAAACATTTAATAAAGATCTCCCATCTGCATTCTGTATAATACAGCCTCACAGAGTATACTATGCCCATTTAACAGGTAGGTCAACTCTTAATCTTTTGAGTATCAGGATGCAATCAACATTACTATGTGCTATATAACTCTCACCCCTTCTTGGATGCACACTTTAACATGGTGAAGGGGTTAGAGTGTATCAGTGAAGCTGAAGGTAATACTGTCAGGAGTCCAGATTTCATTATGAGTCTGGCCTCCGAGCAGGGTCACCCAAGACAGAATGGTCACAGGTAAAACACCAGACTAAGATGCATCCACCCTCAGCTACTTACTTCAAGGCAGCTACTGAGCAGCAGTAATAGCTGAAGGTGACACCGGCAGAAGCGGCAATGGAGGTGACACTCAAGCTAACATTGGTTAGTACTGCAATGGTAAACCTCAGTACTTAGTGTCAATGAATTAGACTGGAATGGGATGCTCTCAGTCAGACAACTACAGATTGTTCTACTCTGAGAATGGCAAAAGCAGAATAAATTGAGTGGCTCTAATATTGAAGCAAGATGTAGAACAGGCAGTTAGGGGCTATAATGCAAAGTCTTATAAAAAATATGGTATCACTCAGACTCCATGGAAAACCTATCAATATAACCATCATTCAAGTCATCTACCAGTGTTGAAGGTGATGAAATTGAAAGCTTTTATGCAAGCAACCAGAATAAATTGATCACACACCAATACAAGAGATGCTTATAATGATAGGTGAGTGGAATACAAAACTGGGGGACAACACAGAACTAAATGTTGCAGAATAAATTGGCCAAGGGGGAAAAATGAAGCAAGAGAACAACTCAGAGTTGTGTGAAGATAGCAATCTATCATAAATAATGCTTCAAGTAACCAAACAGATAGCTGTACACATGGACATTACCAAATTTTCAATACAGAAATCAAACAGATTATGTACTTATGTAATTGGAAGCAGGAGATGGAGGAGCTGTATCCTCACTGTCAAAACAAGACCAGGAGCAGACTGTGGTACTGAGCATGAACTGTTAATATCCAACGTTAGAGTAAAGCTGAAAAAGACCACTAAAAGAATATTAGTGTCAAAATATAATTCCTGGTGATTTTAAAGTCCACATAAGGATCATATTTGCATTGTTTAGTCGTTAAGTCATGTCCGATTCTTTGTGACCCCATAGACCAGAGCACGCCAGGCCCTCCTGTCTTCCACTGCCTCCCGGAGTTGGGTCACATTCATGTTGGTAGCTTCAATGACACTGTCCAACCATTTCATCCTCTATCGTCCCCTTCTCCTCTTGCCTTCACACTTTCCCAACATCAGGGGCTTTTCCAGGGAATCTTCTCTTCTCATGAGATGACCAAAGTATTGGAGCCTCAGCTTCAGGATCTGTCCTTCCAGTGAGCCGTCTCATCACAGGCTGTTTCCCTAATTCCTGAATTAGGGAACCATCCCACTTAGAGCAGCCACCATTCTGGAAAGGAAAACATGAAACGCTGATCCATAATTCCCATGAACAACATGGGACTCATTCAGCCCTGGAAGGCGGCCCATCTAGGAGAAGGAAAACTCTGATTTCAAAACCCCACTGACGCGCTGCCATTGCCGTCCATGCCATGAGGGAACAGGCCGGGTAGGTGGGACTTGTTAGCCCAGGAAGGCAGCCCATCTAGGAGAAGGAAAACTCCGATTTCAAACTTCCACTGCCTTGTGGCCTTATCCACTGATGGAAAAGGCTTCAGGATTCAACCTCAAGGCAAAACCCGGAGCCGGAGTCCCGGAGGCAGTTTGTGTCATTTTGTCAACTCCTGTGACATCACTGAAACCAGTTGTATTGGATCTTGCCTTTCCATTGGACTATTTCAGTGACGTGGAGAGGGGGGATTTGCTGGTTGGGTAACAGCTGATTCTCCATTCTATTTTACCCAGGCTTCGTGCCTTGGAGAGGACACTCCAGCTTCGCATACAGCATCAAAACACTAGACGCTGTTCCAAGTCCTCCATACAGAGCACTTTACCATAGTCTCTTGGGACTGAAGGATGCCTATGCTTTGATGACACTGTCCAACCATCTCGTCCTCTGTTGTCCCCTCCTCCTCTTGCTTTCACACTTTCCTTTCCTTTCAGATGCTGTCTAGTAGGTTTGTCATTGCTTTCCTCCCAAGAAGCAGGAGTCTTTTAATTTGTGGCTGCTGCCACCATCTGCAGTTATTATGGAGCCCAAGAAAGTAAAATCTGTCACTGCCTCCATATCTTCCCCTCCTATTTGCCAGGAGGTGATGGGTCCAGTGGCTGTGATCTTGGTTTTTTTGATGTTGCGCTTCGGACCATTTTTTTCACCCTCCTCTTTCACCCTCATTAAGAGGTTCTTTATTTATTTATTTATTTATTTATTTGTTTGTTTGTTTATAGCCTGCCCATCTAGTCATATAGACTACTCTGGGCGGGTAACAACATATCACGTAACAATTTACAGTTTAAAATCATGACAATATATTACTAAAAAACACAATGATCCAAAATGGGAGAAAACACAAGAAACAAAAATTTAATTCCTCCTCACTTTCTGCCACCAGAGTGGTATCATCTGCATATCGGAGGTTGTTGATATTTATTCTGGCAATCTTAATTCCGGCTAGGGATTCATCCAGTCCAGACTTTCGCATGATATATTCTGCATATAAGTTAAATAAGCAGGGTTGAGTTGTCCAGGATATCCAAACCTTTCTGGTATAATTTCTCTGTGTATTCTTGCCACATCTTCTTGATGTCTTCTGCTTCTGTTAGGTCCCTCCCATTTTTGTCTTTTATCATGTTCATTTTTGCACAAAATGTTCCTTTAATATCTCCAATTTTCCTGAACAGATCTCTGGTTTTTCCTTTTCTATTATTTTCCTCTATTTCTTTGCATTGATCACTTAAGAAGGCCCTCTTCTCTTTCCTTGCTATCCTTTGGAAGTCTGCATTCAATTTTCTGTAGCTTTCCCTATCTCCCTTCCATTTTGTTTCCCTTCTCTACTGTTTGTAAGGCCTCGTTGGACAGCCACTTTGCTTTCTTGTATTTCCTTTTCTTTGGGATGGTTTTTGTTGCTGCCTCCTGTACAACGTTACGAGTCTCCATCCATAGTTCTTCAGGCACTCTGTCCACCAAATCTAGTTCCTTAAATCTGTTCTTCACTTCCACTGTATTCATAAAGGATCTGGTTTAGATTATACCTGACTAGCCCAGTGGTTTTTCCTACTTTTAGCTTAAGCTTTAGTTTTGCTATAAGAAGCTGATGATCAGAGCCACAATCAGCTCCAGGTCTTGTTTTTGCTGACTTTATAGAGCTTCTCCATCTTTGGCTGCAGAGACCATAATCAATCTGATTTAGGTGTTGCCCATCTGGTGATGTCCATGTGTAGAGTTAGTTGTGTTGTTGGAAAAAGAGTATTTGTGATGACATGTTTGTTCTCTTGACAAAATTCTATTAGCCTTTGCCCTTCTTCATTTTGAACTCCAAAGCCAAACTTAATTGTTGTTCCTTTTATCTCTTGACTCCCTACTTTAGCATTCCATTCTGGTTCACAGTTCAATTTTGTTTAGTAATGCAAATCTGATCCTTATGTTAAAGTCCACATAAGGATCAGATTTGCATTACTAAACAAAACTGAACTGTGAACCAGAAGACTGCAATTGCCAGAAGCCTTCATCACCAACTGTGCTGGTGGAGATTTCTGAGAACTGCAGTCCAATAATACTTGAGTTACCCAAGAGATTTATATTATTGCAGTCCAATAATACTTGAGTTACCCAAGGTTGGGAACCACTGGCCTTCTTGAACAGAGATGAGGAATCTCCCAATGTCATAAAAAGCTTTGAATTTTCCTCTACTAACCTCTTGCGTAGTTAACTATGCCTACTTGAACAGAGATGAGGAATCTCTCAATGTCATAAAAAGCTTTGAATTTTCCTCTACTAACCTCTTGCGTAGTTAACTATTACCAGTTTTGAAATGCCTCCTTTTCATAAATTGTGACCAAATCTAACTGTTGGAATGCAATTGCAACACCAGAGCTCTAAGCACAATGTACTATATGAAGGAGAGATTTGAGTATTTACACATTACACCACCTCTGCTGCCCAGACACAGCTACTACTGGTTGGGATGGAGAGACATTTCTGTTTCAGGCCATCTACCACAATTTTATTACTGTTGTTTTATTGACTTTATCATAAGTTATTCTTTCTGTTTGTACAGCACCAGTAAGGATTCCCCCCACTCAAGATTTATAGACCTGGATAGTAGTATTTTTAAGAGCTCAGTTTGTGTGTCCAAGTACCTCACAATCTAGAGACAGCTTCTTTCCCCCGCCCTCTCTCTTCTACCTATGTTAAGTCTTGTGGCATCTTATAGAATGACAGATTTATAATAGCATATGCTGTCTGTAACTAGAGCCCATTTCCTTGCCAGCACACAATCTTATCTTCAGTTGGCAGGAGTTTCCTGTGCAGGCGCACAACCGCCTGTGTATGTGTGTGCATACAAACCGATAGCAACATACCCAAAGGTATACTGAAAAGAAAGGCAAGCAAGGGTGGCAAAAGACTCAGTATACCATGTTAGTATTACACTTTTTCTTTAGTATCTTAATAGGACAAAAAACATACCCCACACCTCATTATCCAATATATGAAGATTAAATATTAATAAATAAGAGAGAGGCCTTCCAAACAGGCTTGAACGCCCAGGAAAGCCTCATTTGAAACCATGAGGGGCACCTCTTTTTACCTCAGGCCAACTCAACCCCCAGCACCCTCCCTTCAGGCTTCCCCCTCTTCAAGGCTTCTGCCCCAGAGCGATGGGGGATTGAAAAATGAGGGAGAAAGAAGGGACCCCCCACCCCATGCGTGCCCAAACCAACTCCCTCACGGACTCAAACCGCCCGTTTCGTCCCCTCACGCTCGACTTCTAAGGGAAAGGCGAGCGACTTCCCGTTTTAAGGGACCCAGGCGGGGCTCCGCTCCCCTCAGGGGCCCCGGGGAGGGGGAAGCAACTGGAAGAACGAACGGACGAAGACACAAAAAGACAACCCACCCACCCACCGCCCAGTCCAGACCTGCCGCTCAACGCCGCGCGCGCGCTGCTATCCTCGGTAATCACCTGCGGCCGGACAGAGCGCCGCTGCCGCAAGCCTTCGGCCTCATTCATCTTGGCCTGACGGGCTCCTCGGCTCGATGACAGGCGAAGGGGGCGCGCGCGCACGCTCCCACCACAGCAGCCCTGCTTTCCCCCAACGCCGCGCGCGGAGCTCCGCCCACCGCGCCGCTCGCCGTCTCGGTGCAGCTCCGCCTCCTTCTGCAGGGTGGCCAATGGCTTGCCTCAGCAGAGCCTCTCCCTCCCCTTTCCCAACGCCCACCCCAGAGGGCATCACGGGGTCACGCCCCCTCCTCGTGGCGCTGCCCAAACCGTCTTCATTACGCCCCCTCCCCCTCCTTTTTATTTTCCACAATGCTGTGTGTACTGTAGACCTACGAGGACCTGAGGCAGAGGGTGGGTGGTTGATTTTCTCTCGCTCTCTCCTTTA